CACCAAAACCCCACCTACGTAGTAGACCAATAAGGCACCACGTCTGACATGTCGTATGTTTGATACATGGCGAGCCCTATGGGCGCCATGTGTCAAGGCAACCAAAACTATATGCTTAGCCTAAGCGGAAGCATATATACAAGTCCAAATATATCTAGATATGAAGAGCCCTGCAACAGGCAACACCATGGCCCCGCAGGGCCCATGGTCCTTCATACCTAGCTCCAAGGCCAAACAACAATACAATCAGCCCCCGGCTCACTTGGACTTGGATTGATAAACAATGGCTCTCCTAAACATTGAGATAGGCATGCGGCCCATTCTCTTACTTGATCGCTCAGAAGCAAGCCCCTCTCTTAAACATTGAGATAAGCCCATGGCCCATTTTCCTACTTGGTCACTTGGAAGCGAGCCCTTGGCTCTCTTAAACACTAAGGTGGGCCCTGGCCCATTTATCTACTTGGATGCCTGGGTTGGGAGCAAGACCCAGGCACTACGGCTCGGGATCATCAGAGGATATTGGACTGGCGGCTGAGGTCATGGGATCGTCGAGATAGTTGTCTTCTTGCTAAGACAACTCTATCTCGACCAGGCTTGGAGAAGAGGCAACAATGACCTTACGTTCATGTCATCCGATGCATATACGAAACGTTACTTTCTGCCTGCCATGAAACGTTGCTCTCCGCCTGCCGGCAAGCCGCAGACGGCAGAAGGACTTATATCACTTCTGGCAGAGTTGAGGAGAACGAGCCACCTATCCAACAGTTTGCTTGGGCTCCAACACTCCTGCGGCTTATATAACGTATCGTATATGCAGCGAGACACAACAATAACAATATAACCACGTCTCATGCTTAAACACTCTCTCATACTTTACATTAGTGTTCAAAGGTCTATCACTGCCAACCTCTCCCTCTCCAAGCTTGCCTTGACCTCCTCCTCTTCACCTTTGGTGATCCCAAGCCATTGAAGTGCCCGCCATCTTCCCGGACTACCTCTAACCACACCTCTCACCCACATTATACTCTGCTGGGGAAGAGTGGTGCTCGCTTTGCATGGCACCCAAAAAGAACACTGGAACTAGAGTTGCGACATCCCAAGGTGGCGGTAGGGAGACCCTGGCGGAGACCTCGGAACACAACTCCGGTGGCTCTCTAGAAGAACAATCCTCCGAACCGGTTATAACAGATCAGCTACGTGTATTGACTGAGAGCGTCGCCTCCCTTCAACAGAACCAACAACTCTTAATGAACGCCCTGCTAGCCTTACAAAGGGCACCTACGCTCCGATCATCACCTAACCCTCCTACATCATCTCAAAATGGTGTTCCGCCATTACCCCAGAATGGCTCAGAAGCCAACCTCGCTACGCAAAACGACTCGCGAACCCAAGCGGGAGGACAAACAGCCCCCCCGCTCCCTTCATTAGCTCCCAGCCAGACACCCCCACCACAAGTTGGGTCCATTAGTGGAGCTCCCACCGCAGTGGCTTCAACTGGCTCTCCAGCTCTTCTGGCAAATCAGAACCCTTCCCAGCCATTAACATTGGTGGTCGTAAAAGAGCACGTACATAGCCTACTTCAGACAAACAAAGGTCACATCCCTGCCTCCCCAGAATTGGACCTCCGTCCTCCTTACCCTATCCACATCGCAAGTCTTCCATATCCGGCGGGATATACAGTACCCATGTTTGTTCGCTTCGACGGACGAAAAGGGAACGCCAGGGAGCATGTTTCACGCTTTCTTGATGCCCTTGGAGCTCACTGAGAAGACCGAAACTCCCGCATGAGAGAATTCTCCAAATCCCTCACAGATCGAGCATTTTTCGTGGTATGCTAACCTCGCTGCTGGCTCTATTTCTTCATGGGAAGACTTGGTAAAAAAGTTTTATATCAAGTTCTTCTAAGTTGAAGAAAGGTTAACCACCCTTCATCTTATGAGGGAAACACAACGACTTGGGGAGGACATCCTCGTTTACGTCCATCGTTTCAGGAAAAAGCAGTAGACATTCAAGACCCAATGGAAGAACACCAACTGGTGTCATTGTGCATTGAAGAAATGATCACGACTTATAAACTCCAGTTGGTCAACCACCACTTCCCTGACTTTTCCGCTTTATGTGCTGCAGCCCGAAACATAAGTGAAACAGTAAGATCAGGGGCACGAATGACAGCACCGCAACCCCTCTCATGGCGACCAACAGCACCTCAACCTTCCTCATGGAGGCCTAACCGACGCAACCACGCTGTGTATACAGCCAAGGGCTCCTCTTGGGGAAGAGAAGACCCGCAGGCAAAAAAGAGAAAGTTCGATCAAATTCCCCTGCCATTACCTATCTCAGTGAATGAGGCACAGGCACTCCTCAACGCCTGGGTAGAAGATGGAAAAGTTCACCTCCCCGAGCCAAGGTAACCTGTTAACAAAAAGGATCAAGCGCGGGCAGACTATTACATATACCATCGTTCCGTTAAACATCCTACTAGGGAATGTTGGGCACTCAGATCCCTAGTTCGAAAAATGATGTCTGAAGACGTTTTGGAGCTACCTCGCCAAACAGAAGATGTCTTGAAAGAACCTCTCCCACGCTATAAGGATAATGGCAAGATGGTCACGATGCTTTCGCATTATGACGAGATAGAAGAGCCAATGGTGTGCGAGCTCTCTGAACTCCCAACTCCCACTTGTCCGGACTTTGAGACTAGACGTGTGTTAGCACTTAAGAAATCGACAAAGTTCAAGTGGTTCTTCGACCAATTCGACCTGTCTGAAGCAACACACTTTGAAGCCACCAAGGCCTTTTTAAGACTTGCAGAGCAGAATGGTGAAACGTGCATGAGTGTAAGCGGATCAGTAAGGAAAGTATTTTGGGATAACTCCTTGGCAATAACCTTTACCGAGGCTGACAAACAAGTACCATTCCCACATAACCGTTCCCTCTACGTCCCAGTATTCATCAATGGGATGGAGTTTCAAAGAGGATTCATGGATGGAGGAGCTTCACTCAATGTGATGCCTTATTCTACTTTCCAGGCAGCCAGGATCCCATAAAAGCACTTAGTCAGACAACCCATCTCCATCACCGGTTTTGGAAGCCAAAAAATTAAAACCATAGGTCATGTCCAGTTAGACTTAGCAGTGGGACCAATTCGCTCCACTACTAAGTTTCATGTTATAGAAGTAGAGACGACCTAGCAGGCTCTCCTAGGGAGAACTTGGCTTCACAGATATGCTGCGATTCCGTCCACCTACCATCAATGTGTCAAAGCAATCTACAACAATGAGGTAGTAGCCGTAGCTGGCTCTCAAAAGCCTTTTCGAGTAGATGAAGCTCACATGGCAGATGCAGTATTTTACAATCATGTCGATGAAGATGAACCTCCCCTGCTACTTTGAGGAACTCTTATACCTGACTAGGATGACCTCTCTGAAGAAGGTTCATCACCACCTCGTAGAAAGACGTTCACCAAATCAGAGCCCTCAAGAAAGCTCCCTAAAGTCACCAGGTTTCAAACAAAAGATGGCAGAGTGGTATATCGTTTATGACGGCGCGAGGGGTTGGCAAATGTTACCAATGCCGACCCCCAGCTAGACGACGTAGCAATTGTCCACTATGAACTAAGTGGAGAAGATCACTGTTGCTACACCTTGTCTGCGCTGGCCCAACGCCCGCCAATGGCAAAGAATAAAAAAAGTAGAGACAAGAAGAGCAGAAGGAGAAAAAAAGTTGTGGCTTTTCCAGCAACAGATAAACACTCTGACAAATCCTATTGTCCCGCGGTAACTCATTTGGATGGAGCCGAAGGCTCAAAAGTTAAACCCCTCGCCGAGGCAGCCATTTCATCTCCTAACCAAGTCCCCGCCAAGCAAGATGGATTGCAAGAAGTCCGACCTGCTCCAGAGTGTTTACAAGACGGCCTTCGGCCCCAAAAGTAAGAACTGGAAGAAATCAACATAGCCCTTGAAGGAGAACCCAGACGTCCTATCTTCATTTGCAAAGATCTTCCAGCAGAACAAAGGGGGCCCCTCATCGAATTGATCAAGAAGTATTCGGACGTTTTTGCATGGACATATGAAGAAATGACAGGGTTAGACAAAGATGTTACCATGCACCGTTTGAACGTCATTCCCCTGGCTCGCCCAGTCAAGCAAGGGGTAAGATTTTATAAGCCCGAGGTGGAGCTCAACATCAAGGACGAAGTGGTGAAGCTGCTTAGAGCAGGGTTTATCAAACCCATCCAACACCCCACTTGGCTTTCTAGTATCGTCCCAGTTATCAAAAAGAATGGTCAAATTCGATTGTGCGCCGATTTCAGAGATCTAAACAAATCTTGCCCCAAAGATGAGTTCCCACTCCCAAACATAGATACCTTGATTGATTCAGCGGCGGGGCACCATATGTTCTCATTCATGGATAGCTTCAACGGCTATAACCAGATCAAGATGGCCCCAGAGGATGCCCCAAAGACGGCGTTTCACACTCCTATAGGTAACTTTTTCTATACCGTAATGCCTTTTGGATTAAAAAACGCGGGAGCAACATACCAGAGAGCTATGACAGCCATCTTTCATGACATGCTGCAGATATCCTTGGAATGTTACATTGATGATTTGGTAGTGAAATCCAAGGAGGAGACCAGTCACCTTAGAGACCTTCAAAGAGTCTTTGAACGCTGTAAGAAATATAGACTCAGAACGAATCCGCTTAAATGTGCATTCGGAGTCACTGTTGGCAAGTTCCTTGGCTGCATCGTTCATCGCCATGGGATAGACCTCAACCCAGCAAAGGTCGCCGCCATCACAAATATGCCACGACCAACCAATCTAGACGAGTTGATAACCTTCCTTGGTCGGGCATCTTACTTGAGACGGTTTATCCCAGCTATGGCCAAAATAACGCAACCCTTCAATTCATTACTAAAGAAGGACGTCAGGTTCATTTGGAATGAGGAGCACCAATAAGCATTCGAAGGAGTGAAGTCAGCTTTAATTTCCCCTCTCTCCATGACTCCTCCTCAGCCGACAAGGCCCTTACTCCTCTACATCACTTTCACGCCGAAATCAGTCGGAGCTCTGCTCACCCAGGAAATTGACGGACTCGAACGACCCGTGTACTACATAAGTAGAGTCGTCCAAGGAGCTGAGATCCGATATTCCCCCATTGAGTGGCACTGCCTCGCCCTAGTCTTTGCCGCTAAAAAGCTCCGCCATTACCTTCTTTCTTACCCTATCCATCTCATGACCAGAAGCGATCTCATCCGCTTTCTCCTCACTAGACCAGCGCTCTCCAGCAGGCCAGCTCGCTGGCTCTTATCATTAGCAGAATATGACATCACTTGCAAAGCTCCCAAGGCCGTCAAGAATCAAGCGCTCGCCGACCTCTTGGCTCACTTCCCTAGTGGAGAACATGAACCGCCTTCGGACGAATTGCCAGGAGATGAGTTCCAAGCAGCCGAAGTAAACACCAAAGGAGAATGGAGTTTGAGTTTCGATGGATCGTCCACCTCTAAAGGGGGAAGAGCTGGAATAGTCCTTATTTCCCCAAATCAAACTGAAGTCAATTTGTCATATAAACTGGATTTTAAATGCTCTAACAACGAGGTGGAATACGAGGCCCTAATATTAGGGCTTATGGCAGCACTCCACCTAGGAGTAAGTCTCCTATGTATCAAAGGCGACTCTAATTTGGTGGTCAAGCAGACCAATGGAGACTATGCTATCAAAGAGCCCCCTTTAGCCTCGTACAGAACCATTGTCCAAAGGTTGACAGACAAATTTGACATGGTAAAGGTAGAACACGCTCCTCGCTCCAACAATCGACACCCAGACGCCCTTGCTACCTTGGCTTCTAAAGTAGAATTTGCGGAAGAATCAACTCAGATAGAAGTGCTGAAGCGCTCCATGCCGTGCTCGGTAACAACTATTTTTCCTGAAAAAGAACCCGTCGACTGGAGAGCCCCAATCATCGATAAGCTCCGCGCCCCCTCACGTAAACTACCTTTGTGCGAAATCAAACACTTCACGATTTACCAAGGAGTCCTCTACTACAAAGGGCCTGGGGGTCTGCTAGCACGATGCATCGACTTTACCGAAGCCAAGTCTAAGCTAGAAGGGGTTCATAATCGTTTTTGCGGAACAGGAGACGTGAGCCTCTACAGGAGACTACAACGACAGGGATATTATTGGACTACTATGGCCAAAGAAGCAAACGACCTTCAGGGAAAGTGCACCAAATGCCAGGAATTCCCTCCAAAAGCTGAATTCAATTTTGCAGAAATCACCTCCGACTGGCGTCAGGTGTATATAGATTACCTCAAAGAAGCATCATTGTCGCCAGATCGCTCTGCAGCAGCAATAATCAAGAAGCGAGCTTCGAAATTCTTTTTGCAGGAAGGGCAACTTTTCAAGCATGGCTTTGACGGGAAGCCTTTACGCTGCTTATCGGGAGCAGAAATCCATAAAGTTTTAGAACTTGCTCATGAGTCGGAGCACCAAGACGGAGCCAAGCTATTCCAACATCTTTTGCATATAGGTTATTATTGGCCCACCATGGAAGCGAACGCCAAAATATATGCCAAACGCTGTAAACCTTGTCAAGTCCATGGTAACCTTATTCACGCACCAGCCACTGATCTGCATAGTTCGAGCTCACCATGGCCTTTCCACACATGGGCTATGGATCTTATTGGCCCCATCTCTCCACCGTCAATGGGACACATATGGATCGTAGCGGCCACGGAGACTTACACTAAGTGGGTAGAAGCCATCCCCCTAAAGAAAGCAACAGGAGCCGCTGTCTCCAATTTCATTCGAGAATTTATTATATGTCGTTTTGGCATTCCTAGAGTAATCCTGTCGGATAATGGGACTCCTTTTGTCAACCGCCAAGTGGGGAAACTCTTAGTCTCCTACGACATCACACACCATAAATCAACGCCTTACTATCCCCAGGGGAATGGACAAGCTGAAGCAACCAACAAAACACTCCTTAGAATCCTTTCAAGGACTCTCAAGGATTATCAAAGGGACTGGGCACATGTGCTTCCAATGGCGCTCTGGGCATACAGAACATCCAACTCAAATGACCCCATTTTCGTTGATATATGGCATGGAAGCCGTCCTTCCAATGGAAATTGCCATACCATTAGCTCGCATGGCCCTCCGAACCGGAACTAGCTCGTACTCCAGGCCATCAGAGCTGGAAGTCCTTGATGAAAGAAGGGATAAGGCCCAGACTAATCTTAGAGTTTACCAGAGCCGTATAGCTAAATCTTATGATACTCTGGTGCGTCCAAGACAGTTCCAAGAAGGTGATTTAGTGTTGCGGGCTGCATCTCACGTCATGAGGGGAACATTAACTCACAAGTTCACACCCAAGTGGCAGGGTCCTTTTGTAGTAAAGGAAGTCAATGAAAATGGCTATTACAGAATTTCTGAGCCTGATTCTCAAACCCTCTTAAGCCCCATCAATGCGAAATGGTTGAAGGCTTATTATCCTTAGAAATTACCCATTACTATATAATGTACTACGCCAAGATGTATTTTGCCCATTTGGGCTTCTTCAATGAATATCGTCCTTTTTCACACTTATTCTAACTATAATCACAAATAATAAAAGATGACACTTTAACTCTAAAGTCAGCTCCATTAAGTAGTTGAAGATTTTCAATTACAAAAAAGAAAGGAAGGCCCAAATCTCCAACATACAAAAAAGTTTTAGGCTATAAAGCTATCATATGCTATAAAGCTATCATATGCTACAAAACTATGATCCAACTAAAGTCAAGACTCTGGAAGCTTGATCTTCTTCTTCTTCACCCGCCAATCTTGCTTCAAGAATCGCTTTCTTTTCTCTCAAGCTAGAAGACGCCAATTCTGTTTCATTCAAAGCTTTCTGTGCTCGTTTAAAAGATAGCTTACGTTCCTCCTCCACTCGTACAGCAACAACCAAAGCCTTATCTGCCTCGCCTAGCTCAGCCTCAATCATCTTCCTCCTGACCTTGGATTTAAGAAGAGATAACCAATTATCCAACCAACCCACCTCCAATCTGTTAATCCGACCATCTCGAAATTCGGCCAAAACAGCACGTTGGGCTAACACCTCATCAAAAGAAGCTATCTCTGGGGATAACTTGTAAAGCTCCTTAAGGAATTCTCCAAAACCATCCAAAAAATAAGTCCGAAGATAAGAGCTACCCAAGTGCATGAAAGTGGTCGGTTTATAATGAAGAACAAAGAGCAGTCGAGGAATTAACTCTGCTTTTACCCTGGTAAACAACACAGTTGGATCCAGTAGCTTTTCCTTCCCATCGATACCTTTAAGAACCACACTGCCATGGGGAAGATGAATAGGAGAAAAATCTCCATCAGTAGCATGAATGAGGGAATAATCTCCATCAATAGCTGGCAGTGATGGCCTTGGAAGGCTACCCCCAATATCACTAGCACCTTTCTAAATGAAGCCAAACAACTCGCGTACGAGCACACCACCCAAGTTTGCACCAGTTAAAACAATAGGCGAGTTGATTCCAACTTCGGAGCCCGAAGGAATGGTGGGCACATTACTCTCTAGGCTCGCAGAGGTCGTAGAAGCATGCAAAGAAATGGGCGCAGAAGAGCCAATGTCATATGACAAGCTCACGGATGTACTCGCATGTCCAACTCGTGAGCTAAGCACATCGCTATGTCAAAAATTACAACCACCTTCAAAAAAGCAAGCAATAGGGACACCACCTCCAATCTTGGCCCGCAAAGGAACCAATGCATCCCTAGAATTTGGTGTATCCAACAAAGAAGGCCCAGCACTAACCATGTCACATCCAATATCGTCTTCAACATGTTTTCAACATCATCCCAGGCCCCCATAACCTCAAGACTCTGATCCGAACCCTCTTCATCATCCTCTGAATTTTCTACATCGTCCTCAGCACCTATGGGCAAGACTTTATGCCACTTCAATTTTATCTGACACACGCCAGCCGACCCCTGCAAACAACACAGGTATTTTAATACAAACGTATTAGAAACGCCACAAACTCACAAATAATTCCAAAATACAAAACATGAGTTTACCTGTGACGAATCAATGGTGTCAGTCGAGCAACCCCTCGCTTGGCGGGCAACCCTGGTTTTAGTAGGCGGCTCTATACCTCTAATCTGTGGAGGTACTCTCCTAGGCACTGGAACAAGAACGGAGGAAGGGGGTGGCCTTTACGCTTGGCACTTGAAGGTCGGTCAGGAGAAACTATCTGGGTTTGTTCTAAAGCAATAGTCACCTTAGATAAGCGAGCCAGTGGGCTGAGTTCCCCCCTATCTGCAGCTGACAAGCCCCGCTCTCCGCGAGCCATACATAACTCAGGGTCATCAGACGAAATGAGCTCAACATGGACAAGACCAAGATCACTACTCAAGAAAGCCCGAAATAATGCAAGATTGCATCTCCAATACTTCCTCCAACTAGGGGTGGTTCCGCCAACTCTACCCTTACTTGCTAGCATAACTCGCCCCTGACGCCTTAATTCTTTTGAAAGAAAAGAGTATACATATAATTGCATACAGTCAGCGGCCGAAGGTATAGGAGAAGGAAGATGTTGAGGAACCCCTTGGTCCAAACCAAACTGTCGAGCAACCCTCAAAGGATTCTAGGCCACCACACCGTATGTGCCATCCAGAAAATAAGGTAAATACCCAGAAACGGTGCTAAGAACCATCACTGAATCCGCATCCCCCAAATAAGACACACCCGGCTCGAGAACAAGCTCGCAATCATCTAGGTGGTAGGCAACGGTAGAAGATACTCCACAAACTGGCATGACATAAGGACGAGCAACAAACTTGTCCTCAAAATCAAAAATGCTGGCCAAACTCCCCTGTACACATCCCTCAGCCCACCTAGCAGAACGCGGCTCACTTTCTTCAATAGAAAACACCTTTGGCATAGGGGCCAAGCTAGGAAATCTCTCATACAAAAACAACTGCAGAAAAGTAGTAGGGAGGAAGCTGGTAACATCGTATCGTCCTTTGGAACGATCAACACGTTCCTGATACATATCTAACCTCCTATACAGCCCCCCAGAAATAAAGGAGCCAACGGAATCGGACAGCCGGAAGCAAGAATGGCAGCAAGAGGAAAGAGCTCATGGCAAATACCGTCTTAGGGTCTACCCATCAAGACATACCGCGACAACCAATATGTAATGAAAGCAGTTAAATGCTCAATACTCCCCCACTTGTCCCCTTCCATCCCTGGACCTATGAATCCATCCTCCGTATTTCCTTGCACCTGATGGCTAAGATCTCGAAACCAGTACCGAAGCCATTCCCCGAAAGTGTTTTTTGGGCGTTTTCGTGATCGAGATGTTACTAACACTTTATTTTGATAGCGACTCAATAACTTCCCGGCCGGTGCCACGGCCTCCTCCAATCTCCCAACAATAGCCATCTGGCTAAGGGACAAACTTCCTACGCTAGGGTTCGCCGATCCAAGATGCTCTAACCCCGTCAAAACAACTACATCCTCTAGAGTAGGGGTCGTCTTGCCCCACTGTGCAATAAAAGTATGAGAACTTGAACTCCAACGTGACAATCCGAACTCCAGCCAAGATGGCTCCCGTCTAATCCGCATACACTGAGAAATAGCAGTAGCAATCTTAGCTCCAGCAAGCACCTCACAATATGAGGGATGACTGCGCTCCAGACATCAAAGTCATCTTTTGGCCCCGTATAATCCTCAAAAGCTGGAAAAGAGTACGGATAAGTGCCCCTCTCCACATGAAAACGTACAACAGACTCTGGAGGAACAAAAGCTTTAACCCCTTTCTCTGGCTCAACCCCACCAACAAGGAAATCAGTCGAATCAGGCGGGTCCCTGCCATTGTCATCAAATAAATCCACCCTCGCCCAAAACAAATCCATGGCACCAAAGAAAGGTGCCTTACACCAATATTCCACTGGAGGGACGATTGGAGGATCCGTGTCCTTCTTGGCCTTAAAAAGATTTTTCTTGGATTTACCCTCTTTTGACTGGGAAATGCCAGAAGAACCTGCTAGTGATTGTTGCGCGCTGCGACGGGACACAGCACTTCCCTCTTTTACTTTTGCCATATCACAAAAGCTCACCTTTCTTACATCAACACAAGATTTACAAATCAGAAATGTCATTCACTTTTGAGTTGCATTTTATCGAAAAAAAAATCACAAAAGCTTGCCTTTCCTACATCAACACAAGATTTACAAATCAGAAATGTCATTTACTTTTGAGTTGCATTTTATTGAAAAAAAAAAAGTCATCTTCCCCTCACTATGGCACTATTTTGAGTTAGGCCTTTCCCTCGCAATTCACCTCTCCCTCGCCTTCCAGGTATGTTTCTATCCCTCGCCTACATTTATGTTTCTATTCCTTGCCTAAATTTCTAACCCTTCCCAAAAGAAAAAATATATATATAAAAAAAATAAAAATAAAAATATTTTGAGTTAGGCCTCTATCCCTCGCTCGAAGTACGCCTTTGCTCCAATTCCCCTCCCCCTCGCTTTCCACATATGTTTCTATCCAAATTTTCTAACTATTTCCACCGAAGTTAAAAAAAAAAATAAAAAATAAATTGAGTTAGGCCTCTTCCCCTCGCTAGGCCTCTATCCCTCGCATGCCTCTATCCCTCGCATGAAGTATACCTTCGTTCCAATTCCCCTTTCCCTCGCTTTCCACATATGTTTCTATCTCTCGCAAATTTTCTAACTATTTCCACCGAAGTTATAAAAATAAAAAAAATAAAAAATAAAAAAAAATTAAGTTAGACCTCTTCCCCTCACTAGGCCTCTATCCCTCGCAGCTGCCCCCATCCCTCGCATTAATCTTTATTTCCCCTCGCACCACTTCTCCCTCGCTTCATTTTTTTTCTTTTTCTCACCAAATTCTTTTGCTAAAAAAAAAAGAAAGCTACACCCCCCTTACCGCTCGCACTCATCCTCATTTCCCTCACACAACATAATCCATCCCTCGCATAGCCCCTTCCCCTCGCATAACCCTTCCCATCAAAAAAAAAAAAAAAAAAAAAAAAAACTTTTTAAAAAAAAAAAAAAAAAAATCATATTTTGAGATAAGCCTCTCTCCCTCGCATAACAAAACCCATATTTTGGGATAGCCCCTTTCCCTTCATTATTTTATTTTCATTAAAAAAAAAAAAAAAAAAAAAAACCCCTATTTTTGGATAGCCCCTTTCCCTCGCATAACAAAACCCATATTTTGGGATAGCCCCTTTCCCTTCATTATTTTTATTTTCATTAAAAAACAAAAACAAAAAAACAAAAAAACAAAAACAAAAAAAAACCCCTATTTTGGATAGCCCCTTTCCCTCGCATAACAAAACCTATATTTTGGGATAGCCCCTTTCCTTTCATTATTTTATTTTCATTAAAAAAAAAAAAAAAATTTGAGTTAGGCCTCTTCCCCTCGCTAGGCCTCTATCCCTCGCATGCCTCTGTCCCTCGCATGAAGTATACCTTCGTTCCAATTCCCCTTTCCCTCGCTTTCCACATATGTTTCTAAAAAAAAAACCATATTTTAAGATAGCACATTTCCCTCGCATAACAAAACTCATATTTTGAGATACCCTTTTCCCTCGCATAACAAAACAAAACCCCTATTTTAAGATAGTCCCTTTCCCTCGCATAACAAAACCCATATTTTGGATAGCCCCTTTCCCTCGCATAACAAAACCCATATTTTGGGATAGCCCCTTTCCCTTCATTATTTTTATTTTCATTAAAAAACAAAAACAAAAAAACAAAAAAACAAAAACAAAAAAAAACCCCTATTTTGGATAGCCCCTTTCCCTCGCATAACAAAACCTATATTTTGGGATAGCCCCTTTCCTTTCATTATTTTATTTTCATTAAAAAAAAAAAAAAAATTTGAGTTAGGCCTCTTCCCCTCGCTAGGCCTCTATCCCTCGCTCGAAGTACGCCTTTGCTCCAATTCCCCTCCCCCTCGCTTTCCACAAATGTTTCTATCCAAATTTTCTAACTATTTCCACCGAAGTTAAAAAAAAAAATAAAAAATAAATTGAGTTAGGCCTCTTCCCCTCGCTAGGCCTCTATCCCTCGCATGAAGTATACCTTCGTTCCAATTCCCCTTTCCCTCGCTTTCCACATATGTTTCTAAAAAAAAAACCATATTTTAAGATAGCCCATTTTCCTCGCATAACAAAACTCATGTTTTGAGATACCCCTTTCCCTCGCATAACAAAACAACACCCCTATGTTAAGATAGCCCTTTTCCCTCGCATAGCAAAACCCATATTTTGGATAGCCCCTTTTCCTCGTATAACAAAACCCATATTTTGGGATAGCCCCTTTCCCTTCATTATTTTATTTTCATTAACCAAAAAAAAAAACCATATTTTAAGATAGCCCCTTTCCCTCGCATAACCAAACCCCTCCCTCGCTTCATCTTTCTTTCGCAAAATTCTTTTTTGTAAAATAAAAAAAAAAACAAAACAAAAAAAAACAAATTCTTGAGCCTCCCTCGCCTCATTTTCTTAACTTTCCGAATTTGTTTTGTGGGCTTCATCTTTTATAGCTCTCCTTTATTACCTCATCAATTTAAAAATAAAATTAAATTAAATAGCCCCTTCATTATTTTATTCACCTTATTTTTATATTTCTCCAAATCCTTTTGAGAGTTTCCCTCGGTTCATCTTTTCTGTTTACAACCTATAAATCATAAACCAATCAAACCTCATAACTCTCAATACAATCCTTAAATTTTGCCAAGTAGCTCTCCCATATTTACTCTAACAGTTTATTTTTATTTTTCTAAGCAGACATCTCTCCAGTATTCGTTTTTAATAACTTTCCAACCTCTTCACCCTTTACCTAATTAACATTTTATTATAGACCTCTCCAATTCTCCACAACACAACCTTTTTTCTTTTTTTTTTTATTGATCTGCCTCATGCTAAAAAAATAAATAAATATAAATATATAAAATAATAATAATAACAAAACAATATTTTTATTTTTATTTCGTGGCTCACCTCTATTTTTCAAAAAGCCTCCTATTTTTCACAAAACAACACTATATATATATATGAATCTATAGCTGAAAACATACATCAAATTCAACTGAGCAATACACATACCTTTCAAGCCCACGGCAGCGCCAATCGCGACGAGCTCTGAGCATATCCGCAGCCCCTCTTTTTTCCTCTTCCTGATTCGATTGCTCCTCTCAAGCTCCACCCATAGCAATAACCCTCAGAAACCCAACTTTACTGATTCAGCCTCTATTGATGACTCCCAGATTCTTCAATCACGAGCAAACCCACTCGCGATCGGCAAGACCCAGTCCTAGCAGCCAACCCAGAATCAGAATTCAACTCCCAACAGCCCAACCGATCGCCCCACAGCACCCCTGCGGCTCACCTAACGGCGACTTCTGCGACTCGCAGCACTCTTCTTCCCTCCTTTCTCTCTCTGCCCAACTCGTCTCTCTCCCCCTTTCGCGACTTCGAGGTTCGATTCACCACCCTCAAACAAACAACACAAAAATCTAGCCCCTCACCATTCGATCCCGTAACAACAGTGTGAGAAAAGCTGTGATGCCTTCGTACCACACAGGCGCTGTCGGGTCTCACTTTGGAGCTCGTCGGCGGCAACCCTTTTCCTCCTTCGTAGCTGTCAACCTTCCTCTCCCCACTGTATTCTGGATTCTCTAGTCTTTCCCACTAAGTTGAATTCTAGGTTTTTTAGAAAGAGAACAGAAAAGTCTACCCAAACACAAACTTGCCTAGCCCCTCCCTTAATGGTATAAGAAACCCAGCTACGGGTAACCAAATCCATCACACACCCTTCTGTACAATGGGTAAAAGGAACAACCAGAGATCCTGATTCAAAAAATAATAATAATAATAATAATAACAATAATAAAAATAAATAAATAAATAAAAATTTATATACATACTAAGGTCGTACCTTCCCAAGGAAAATCTTTAAACCAATCAAAAATTCTCTTTGCCTGTTACAAATATTAAAAGCGCCGTCAAAAATGGGGTGTCTACAATATGAGTCCTTCTCTTTTCCCAAATGTAGTTCTGTTTGTGTTAAATAAATATATTATACATATATTTACATGGAGTTGCATATTCTACAAAGCAACTAACAAAGACCCACCTCCTGTAAAGTCCACCAACCATTAACAAAAACTTTACCAATTTCAACTTTGATTTACAGAACACATATCATTACCACCCAAGACCCTCATTCACAATGAAAACCTATATCTATAAAATTCCACTAATAATAATCATAATCTTAAATATATACACACAAAGGGGGCATAAAACAGAGAACTCACCAGAAATTTCAAGAGGTTTTTAATTTCAAAAGACAAACTCAATGGTGGTTTGAGTAAGTAACTTCAATGGTGGTTCGGAGCTATGATGAAGAAAACAAATTAGGTATTCGTTTCAAAAATAGAAGACAAGGAGAAAGGACATATACTATTTGGGAATTCAATCTTGTTAGGAAAGGAAAGAGTCGTGCTCTCTCAATCATGGGTAGAATAGGCACGAATTTGCGCCATCTTCCCGGACTGATGCTCTCCATGCCTCCATGGCAATTCGAAGATCAACTATTCGAATCCCCTTGGATCCAACACCCAATATCTGCTCATACAGTTGTAGAGGTGCCGAAAGAATTTTGGGGTAAAATAAGAGGATGGTACAAGGCACTAACCATTCCAGAACTTTACACAATACCACCGTCCCATACTTGGTTTTTGCTAAACCAAGAAATCAACCTCACTCTCCAGGGATCCACCGGCCAGGCAAATCAGGTGTTAGTCCCACATTTCGAGAGGATCCGTATCAACATCCTCTCAGGTGTTAGTCCCACATTTCGAGAGGATCCGTATCAACATCCTCTCACAAAGACCGACAGAGAGAGATCTAGACCACCACATCTCCATCATGTCAGCGCCATTGGAAAACCCAAATGAAGATTTGGGACTTGGATGGGACATAGAGAGCCTTGCAGATCTCAACATAGGAGAAGAGAGTGTTTCCCGCAGTGCCCAGCCAAACATCCCGCTCAACATTCCACTTAACATCCTCTTCTTCAACACTGAGGGTGTCGCTCGCCCTAACTTCCTCCAACACTACATGCACCTACACTCTAGCAGACGCTTCCACCTCGTCATCATCACAAACACCAAAAAAGAAGGAAGCGAGGCCCAGTTCATGAGCCAAATCATGGGCTTTCCTAACACCAAGGCCATTGTCCCCGCTCCTAGCGGCATGGAAAGGGTGAGAGGCGGAATCTGGTGCCTATGGAATGAAGCCGAAATCTCCTGTGAAGTAGTGGAAATTCCCCGGAATCAAGCCATCGCCCAACAAGCCCACATCTTTATCCGGCCGGCTCGCATCGGATGAAATTTAAAATGTAAACTCTCCATGAGCAATCCAAATACCCCCATTATATCAAAAGCTTAATTTTAGACGACTCTATCTGAATACTTGTCTGCATGAGTTAATATTTTTCAAAACTTTTTAACATAGTCATGTACAAATACTCTCATCAGCTATAAAAGCGTCTATACAGGGGGCATTATTGTGGGTACTTGTATCAAGCTCAATACGTGGCAAGCCCTATAGGTGCCACATCACCAAAACCCCACCTACGTGGCAGACCAATAAGGCACCACGTCTGGCATGTCGTATGTTTGATACATGGCGAGCCCTATGGGCGCCATGTGCCAAGGCAACCAAAACTATATGCTTAGCCTAAGCGGGAGCATATATACAAGCCCAAATATATCTAGATATGAAGAGCCCTGCAACAGGCAGCACCATGGCCCCGCAGGGCCCATGGTCCTTCATACCTAGCTCCAAGTCCAAACAACAATACAATCAGCCCCCGGCTCACTTGGACTTGGATTGATAAACAATGGCTCTTCTAAACATTGAGATAAACCTGCGGCCCATTCTCCTACTTGATCGCTCAGAAGCGAACCCCTCTCTTAAACATTGAGATAAGCCCGCGGCCCATTCTCCTACTTGGTCACTTGGAAGCGAGCCCTTGGCTCTCATAAACACTAAGGTGGGCCCTGGCCCATTTATCTACTTGGATGCCTGGGTTGGGAGTAGGACCCAGGCACTACTGCTCGGGATCATCAGAGGATATTGGACTGGCGGCTGAGGTCATGGGATCGTCAAGATAGTTGTCTTCTTGCTAAGACAACTCTATCTCGACCAGGCTTGGAGAAGAGGCAATAATGACCTTACGTTCATGTCATCCGATGCATATACAAAACGTTACTTTCTGCCTGCCATGAAACATTGCTCTCCGCCTACTGGCAAGCCACAGACGGCAGAAGGGCTTATATCACTTCTGGCAGAGTTGAGGAGAACGAGCCACCTGTCCAACAGTTTGCTTGGGCTCCAACACTCCTGCGGCCTATATAACGTATCGTATATGCAGCGAGACACAACAACAACAATACAACCAAGTCTCATGCTTAAACACTCTCTCATACTTTACATTAGTGTTCAAAGGTCTATCACTGCCAACCTCTCCCTCTCCAAGCTTGCCTTGACCTCCTCTTCTCCACCTCCGGTGATCCCAAGCCATTGAAGTGCCCGCCATCTTCTCAGACTACCTCTAACCACACCTCTCACCCACAAAAACTATCTCTTGCTTTGATTTGTATTTATAAGCCAAGTTCCCATATATATATGTGCGTGTGTAGTTACTAAAGTTAGTGAAGTGAAACATGATTTGCTCCTCGTGTAACACATGCTAAATGTGGTTTCTATATTGTGAAACAAAACTTTCCCAAGAAACACCCAAAACATTTTTAATTTTTTAATTTTTATTTTTTTTAATTTTTGAAGGGTTAGAGAAGGTCCTACTCTAATCCAGATCTAAGGGAAATGAAAAGAAATCACCTCCCAATGCCATACATGAAACTTGAATTTTTCAATTATTCTACACATACAAAATTAAACACAATTATCTCATATAAAATAAGACTTAGACATTTGGTGAAACGCATCTCAAATGAGACAATTGTATTCAATCCTATAATTTTTCAAAACTCTTGCTGTTTGTGTGTTTAGTGAATATATTTAGGGCAAATTTTGCTTTGATTTGAGTCATAATCCAAATCAGTTGGATTCATGAAAAAAACACCAAAAAACCTCATTAAGATGAGTTCAATTCATAACAAAACAGCACAAAGTTTAATAATTAAAACCAATTTGATCATAACTAAAAAAAGCACAGAAGTCTTATGATCAGCCACCATAGCGTCATAACTACATTCACCACTAATTTGACCACAACTAGAACTTTGTAATTACGCACCAATATAACTAATACCACAAATCTTCACAACTAGGACACACATAATTTTTCATTTGTGTTTTAGTGAATATGATTAGGGAAAATTTTGCTAAACTACCTGCCAAATAGGTCATATGTACTAATTTTATGTCATTTAAAAATAATCACACAGTCTTTTGTAATTTGTGGATTAAACACACCATTTCATTTTCTATTCAAATTAAGACGAATGCATTACATGCACCCATCTTTCTAAAAAAAAGCTAAGAAGAAGATGAATCATTTTTTTTAATAATAGAA